GAATTAAGAGGTACAAACTATTATGTATAAAATAAGCTATAAGGACACAGATACAGGGAATATAGCCAATATTTTATAATAACTATAAATTGAATATAACCTTTAAATACCATGAATCACTATACTGTACATCTGTAATATATAATACTGTACATCAACTATACTTTAATTTTTAGAAAGTAATAATTTTTCTTGGTAATGGCTTAGGAAAAATGTCACCCAGCGGTCTGCATAAAGGAGAGGACTGAAATATCTCCAGCAATATCAAGGGAACTTCCAGGGGTATATAATCCCTATAAAGCAGCTTGTGCTGAAAAGTGACTAAAAAGACAAAAATGAATCAAGTCTAAATGCTGAGAGTGAGTCTAGATGTAAAAAGCAACTTGACAGTTCAAGAATAGAAAAGATTTGAAAAGGGGATTAAAATTTTTTCACAGATTTTATAGAGAGAAGTTAGAGCCTAGATGAAATTATGCAGCAAAAATATGTCCCAAACCCTATTAATCTGACATTATGACTTTATTCTGCAGCAAAAATATGATGAATCAAGATCAGGGTTGGAGATTATATATACAGTCAAGAGTTGAGAAGATTCTGGAATAACATGTAAGCTAAGGTCAGGAAACTTTCTAACTCTTACATTATTTTCACACACATTCATTGTCAAAAAATTATTAACTCATTGATAATAAAGAAGGTAGTTTTTTAAATGACTGATCATGCCAAAATAGGCCAGGCAGGGTGAGATGTCAGATGTAGTCATAAGGGGTTCAGGAATTCTAAAGTAAGAGCAATCAAATTTGTAGCATCTCAGGTGAGGTATAAATAAGAGAAGTGGAAGGTAGTGAAAAGAAAAGTGAAAGTGTTAGTCACTCAATTGTGTCCAGCTCTTTGTGATCCCACAGAATGTAACCTGCCAGGCTCCTCTGTCCATGGAATTCTCTAGGCAAAAATATTGGAGTGGGTTGCCATTCCCTTCTCCAGAGGATCTTCCTGACCTGGGGATAGAACCCAGGTCTCCCACATAGCAGGCAGATCCTTTACCATCTGAACCATCGGGGAAGCCCAGAAGGTAGTGAGGATGTGGTTAAAGACAAGGGTTTAAGTTTCTAGACTACCAAAATTGACCAGTTCCAGAGGAGATGAGAAGCAGGACAGCGTGGAATGAAGTCAGTAGGCCCATGTTCAAAACCTGATTTTATGACCAAAGAGCATATTAAGGGTATCTAAAAATATTTATAAAATAAAAAGATTGGAAAAAACACATCCCCATGTCTTTTATAGCAATAAAATTCAATTTTATAAGTAAACTTTTTCCCAACTACACTAGCATCTTAGAAATAATGGGGGAATTAAAAAGAAAAAATCCATTAAAAATATATTTTGCTTTGCATATCAAATCTTTTTTTCATAAGAAAACATATAAAATGCTGCAAGGCAGATGACTTCCAAAGAACCAGTGTACTTATATTTATCTAAAATACATCTGACTACTAATTACTGAAAGTAGATGAAATACCTATGGGTTTATCTGTTCCTAATTAAGCATATTTATCTTTGAAGCTTAAATGGCAATATGTATACTAAACTCCAAAATCTTAAACATTTCTCTGCCAGATGGCTGATTCATATTTGGAAATTTAACAATCTTTTCCAGGAAAACTAGAGTTCTTTTAAACATTTCATTGAGCATGTTGTTACTGAAACACTTGTTCAAATATGCTTCAAATACTTTATGTATCAGTAACGAGAAAATAACTAGGGATTGTGAAACTGAGTAACATGGTTCAGTTTTTTTTTATTCCCTTTAGTAATTTTCTACTGGCTTACCACACACATTCCTGGATGGTTTATCATTCAAAATTGTTTTTCTTTTCTTCCTTAATAACTGAGTTTTCTGATGACAAAACTAAAATAAGCTATTGCTTAGGGAAAAAAATAAAACATCAAACCTTAAACATCACAGGAATGTAAATCATAAGCCTCCTATAATCCCATTCCCTATACCACTGTTTAGGTTTTAGTACATATGTACTAAACAGTAAAGATTTTACTTTGTTATAATTTTTTTAAAATAATAGAACTTGATAGGATATCTTAGAAAGCTAGAATATAAAAACAGAGGGGAAAAGAAGAAAAGAATTAAAATAAGGTCAGCATCAGCTCCTTATCAATTACCTCATTTTAGCTTCTTGGGAACCCTGATTTTGTTTTTTCCCCCCAATTCAAAATGCACACAATATCAATTTCCTGGCTTTGATAATAATTCACTATAGTTGTGTGAGATCTCTTTGGGGAATGTGGATGATGGATACACAGCTCCCTCTATACTATTTTTATAACTTCTTGTGAGTCTTTAAAGATTTTCAAAATTAAAAGTTACAATAAAAATGGAGGCACAGAGGTGGTGACAGCCATACTACTGGAGAACAGAAATTAAGCATAAATAAATGAGATAGAAACAGTTACTTAGTGATTAATTATAATCAGTTCTTTTAGCATAGATTCATTCAGAAACATGCAACTGCTGTATATATGAGTAAGATGCATTTACTGCTTTCTAGGAGGTTTACCTGACTCATTGGAAAAGACCCTGATGCTGGGAGGGATTGGGGGCAGGAGAAGGGGACGACAGAGGATGAGATGGCTGGATGGCATCACCGACTCGATGGACATGAGTTTGGGTAAACTCTGGGAGTTGGTGATGGACAGGGAGGCCTGGTGTGCTGTGATTCATGGGGTCGCAAAGAGTTGGACACGACTGAGCGACTGAACTGAGGAGGTTTTAGTCTAGAAGGTCCCCATTTACTCAGCAGTTACCATATAGGCTTTAGGAAAAAAAGTAAGAAAAAATTAAAGATACAATCCTTACCCTCAAAGGAAAAATAAAAAGCTTTCAATCATATTCCTAGGAATATGTATAGCTGAGCACAAACATACACATACTAAACTTGTTATAATACAGGGACTGGTATTTCAATTTGTGAAGTACCTTCATGAAAAAGAAAAATAGTTTAATTTCCTACTTATTTATGAAATTTTAAACTATTAGTCAATATTTTATTGAAATAACTATAGTAAATTATTGATTAGAATTAATTTGTAATGTTTCATAGCTTTTAATGTCAGTGCACAGTGGATATCTTTTCCCTCTTTGACTAGTCTTAGTTTTATTGTATGATATACTTTAGCACTTGAGTATGTATTGTTCTCTGCTGCTACCACAGTTATCTTTTCTCTCCATCTGTATTTTGAGCTCATTAAGAGCTGTTTTTCCTTCTAACTCTATGTTTCAGGGCACATAACTGGTAATAAATAAATGCTAGTTGATTGGTACTTTGCCAAATGTGTGTTACTTCTATAAAAAATTAGCTACCCATATTTATATGGACAGAAATTGATTAAATTTTATATCACTAATAATTATGGGATTACTGGGTATAAAGTAGAAGACATTTTACTAGCTATTATATAACCCTAAAACATAAAAGACATACATATTTAAAACAGAAAAGATATATGTTACAAATTAGCATTGCTTCCACAGAACTTAAGAAAGACGATCCTTGTTTGGTAACTTGAATTTTATAAGAAATGGTTTTTTAACATGAGATTAAACATAAAAAGGAAATAACTATTTGGAACTTACTGTAGTCTGTCATTACTTTCAGCATATTTAGTATTTAATTTCAGCATATTTAAACATCTTGGTAGAAAACATGTAACAGGAGATTTAGGTCTGAAATTTTCCTTTCTTGATTAAGTAATGAAAGAAAAGTACTACAATTACAGAAAACAAAGAACAGTGACCTATTCAAAGAGAGGCTCCAAAAATATTAATGAATCAAATAATACAGATAAAATATAGACCAGATCCTGTCTTAAGGCATAAGTTTTTACAATTTTTCCATGTTATAAATTAGTGATCTTTCATTTTCCTATTCTATATTTAACAAAGTTAGAATTCAGAATCCATCCATGCCATTAACAAAAAGGTACATGCAAACATATACACATAATTACATATACAGAAATTAAATAACCAAACTGACTTTTCTATGAAAAATTTTCTGTTTTGATGGTAAATGTGTCCATATGTGTTTATATTTTAACTTTCAATAGATATAGTACTACTTTGAATTATGACAACAATAAAATTTATAATGCTATTTTCCCCCATCCTCTTCCTACAGGAAAAGAACATGAAACCCAGAAGCTCAGCACGTGAATTTAGAACAGCTCCTCTTGCCCTATAACATCTCAGCATTCTGAGAAAACTAATGAACCCAGAAAATTCTGCCCTAAGGAGGAGGATTCAGGGAACTGTAAATCTTTCACATCAGTGTTAGAATACTAAGGGCCAAATGTCTTGCCCAAAGGCATGTAGGTAAAGAGAGAACTGAAGTACTTTCTTTAGTCCCACCACACTCTTTCAATTCTAGGCCTCACTATGCTCAGTGGAGGAGGATTATAGTTTTGATTTGTTTGTACCCTTTATGAAAATTACACTCAGTACATTTATACAGAGCAAGGTTCCATTAACTTCATACATGTTCTTTTGAAGCCTCAAAGAAATCTTTTAGAATTGTGTCCTCTCTGAGCTAATAATAATCAAATTAAAAATTCTTCATCAGATAGAGGAAAAAAATGAAAATGAACCAGAAGAAAGAGCAAGAATATGGATAAGCTAAATATATTTAGTAGTTGAAAAACATCTTTGAAGAAAATAGCAACATGTATGTAAATTCCCAAATTCTTTTAAAGTAGTTTACTACTTTATGAATAAAGGCCAGTATTAGACCTAGCCTTAAAGATAAGATGCCTATGCCAGAAAATCTACAGGACTCATTTCCAAAAATTGTGAGCGGTGAAGATAGTCTTGAATGTAGAGGAAGAACGGGGATAGTTTGGGCTTTTTCAGTACTCTAAGGAAACATCTACTTAGTACTTGTATCCCAAGTCAGACATAGTCAATTTATTATAAACAGGGCTTCCAATACCTCTTTAGGGTGGAAAACTATGTTATCTAGTTTGAAATCTCCATGAATCAAATTTTCTTCATTGTCATTATCTGGCAAGTTTTTCATTAGCCAGTCAGATAGCTGGTTCATGGCAGGGATGTCCTGATGAGCTGCAGCTTGATATTGCTTTGTCCAGGTTGATACCTAAAGATAAATAAATTTTTAAAATGACAGTGCTGAAAGTAGAAAATAAGATTCAGCAATTTTAAAATTAAGACAAAATTCAATTATATCAAATTTGGATTCAGTCTTAAATACTCAGAAAAAATGCCTATGATACTTACCTTAGTTTAAAATACTCACATAGGCCTAAAAACTTCAACACTTAAGTTTTTCTTCCATCTAGTTCCATTCTACTTACCTAGACTTTTATCAGGGGAAAAAAAACACTGGCCTACTAATCAAGAGGTGGAAGAAACATGAACAACTTCAGATAGGCAGATGATACCACGGTAATGGCAGAAATCAATGAGGAACTAAAAGAGCCTCTTGATAAGGGTGAAGGAGGAGAGTGAAAGAGCTGCTTAAAACTAAATAAAGGGGAAAGGTAGAATTAGTGAAAGATTTTCCCTTCTTGGACTCTAAAATCACTGTGGATGGTGACTGCAGCCATGAAACCAGAAGACGATTGCTTCTTGGCAGGAAAACTATGACAAACCTAAACAGTGTGTTGAAAAGCAGAGAAATTACTCTGCTGACAAAGGTCTGTATAATCAAGGCTAGGTTCTTCCCAGTGGTCACATATGGTTTTGAGAGCTGGACTGTAAAAAAAAGCAGAATGCCAAAGAATTGATGCCTTTGAACTGTGGTGCTGGAGAACACTCCTGGAAGTCCCTTGGACAGCAAGGAGATCAAGCCAGTCAATCTTAAGAGAAATCAACCCTGAATACTTGTTGGAAGGACTGATGCTGAAGCTGAAGCTCTAGTATTTTGGTCATCTGGTACGAACAGCTGACTCATTGGAAAAGTCCCTGATGCTGGGAAAGAGTGAGGGCAGAAAAGGGTGTCAGAGAATGAGATGGCTGGATGGCATCATCAATGCAGTGGAGGTGAACTTGGGCAAAGTTCAGGTGATGGTGACGGACAGGGAGGCCTGGTGTGCTGCAGTCCATGGGGTCGCAAAGAGTCGGATACGACTCACGACTAAACAACAACAGGAATCAAGAGATGTAGGTTCTAGCCTTTATATGGCAATTATTCTGTAGAAAGAAAAAATAAAGAACAAACACATATACATACAGATGAAAAAAAATAGAAAATTTCTGAAAGGGTCACAAGAAACAAGTAGTCTCTGAAAAATGGAATATGGGGATTAGAAAAAGAAGGGAGATTTTTATTTCTCATTTTAATCTCCTTTTTTTTTATTACCCATAGAATCTTCTAAAGAATCTTTGAAATATATTACAGACATGAAAATGCAAAAAGTTTTTTTTCCTATTTTTCTTAGAATTGAATGCAATTAAGTTAACCTATTCTCAAAGTCCTCCACCAATTGAAATAATATTTACCTATTTATCTCCCTCTCTACTTTCTAAGGCATTTCTGTTCAATTTAGTACAGTAAAGACCTTCATCTTTGGAATCACAGAGAGCTGGGTTTAAATTATGTTTAAGCCACTTATTTGTACATTACTTAATACCTGCAAGCCTCAGTTGCCTCATCTGCAAAATGAGGGTATTAATATCTATGTAATAGGGTTGTTACAAAGATTAAAAAACATTGGGTCTATAATTCATCTAGCATGGGACCTGGTATATAGTGAGTATTCTTTCAACCTTAGTTCCTGTCTCTTCCTTCTGCCCCCTGAAAAAGACATATGTACAAAGGGAAACAGCCTCATACTTATCTGGTCTTGCTGTTCCTTTGATGTGAAATGCTCATCATCTTTTCCCTATCACTCTAGATTTTATTCTTCCTTAAATATATAGTACAAGACATATCTTTCATAGGAAGCTTTCCCCAACTTGAGCAAGGGCATATTTATATCTACCCTCTGAATGGAACAGCTCTCATGATAAGTAACAAAACAATTTATTACCAGATTACATAGTCTTTTATACCATTTTCAAGTTTCATGTAAATGAGTTTCATGTAGAGGTGTCTCAAAAATGTTAAGTTCCTTTAGGGGAAGAATTGATTTCTATTTTCTTGAAGTTTAACACAGTACTTAGCACGTATTAAACATACTTATATGCTTAACAAATATTTGTTAAACTAATTTAAAAAGGGAAAATTGTATATAAAATGTATTGGTAAAATAAGTGAAGAGATAGAAATAGCTTTAAATTTGCATTTATATACATGCTGTCAGTTACAGAAGCTTTTGCTGATCTAAAAAATATAAAAATTATTTTATGCTTAAAATAAGTCAATCTGAAGGTTCAAAGTTATAGCCAGATTTCAGAAAAGTATAAAATAATAGGTTTTTATTTTAATTTAAAAATGTATATTTTGTTTCCAAGAACTTGAGAAAAGAAACTCTTTGTGTGGATGCCTTACCTGTCTTTTGCAATACCCAACACCTCTACCATATCCTTCCAGCTGCAATGACTGTATATTCAAAGAATGTAACTGAGCCAAGGTTTCTATCACGGCCACATAGATGGCTGAACGTTCTGCTGGGCTAACTCCAGGAATTGTGAAATCATGAAAGATTCGGCCCTATGAAAGCAATTACAACAGTTAATTTATAACAAAACAAATCTTTTCATACCAATTATTTGCTGTGTCATCGTACTCTGTTTCCTACAAAAAGATTAGGTACAGTTTTACAACCAAAACCAATTCTTTGTAGAATGTGCCAGGGCTTCCCTGGTGGCTCAGATGGTAAAGAATCTGCCTGCAATGCAGGAGACCCAGGTTTGATCCCTGAGTCAGGAAGATCCCCTGGAGAAGGAAATGGCAATTCACTCCAGTATTCTTGTCTGGAGAATCCCATGTACAGAGGAGCCTGGTGGGCTACAATCCATGAAGTTGCAGAGTCGGATACAACTAAGCAACTAACACATATATGCCACAGGGGAAATACGAGGATACACCAAGATTAACTTAAAGGACAAAAACTACTCTCAAGTAACATTTTACCAAATAAAAAATCTTAAAACAATTTGGATTTATTGTTATTAATGGATTGGTTTTTTATTTGAGTAGTTTCTTTCCCTCTACTATCTGGATAGTTTAGTTATTGCCATTACATGTCTCTTTACTGACACCTAGAGGAAGAATAGACCAATATGCCATAATCAGTAAATCTGTTCCTAGTTCATCTCACTCAAATTGTGTTCTCAATTTAAAATGAAAGTTTAATACAAGATAGGGAATACAGCCAGTATTTTACAATAACTCTAAGTGGAGATTGTGAATAACTATGTAACACATCTGTAACATATAATATTGTACATTAACTATATCTCAATAAAAAATAATTTAAAAAGCAAAACAAAAAAAGCTTCCATAAAGAACTAATACTGCTGATACCTTGGTTTCAAACTTCTAGCCTCGGGAAATGAGAGGATACATTTCTGTTGCTTTAATAAAAATAAAAAAAGTTTAAGCCCTTGCAAAGCAAACTACCTAAAATGCTCACTGATAAACTATCATTTATTAATGTGTAATTTCACAACTAAAAATAAAAGCAACAAAGTACAATTAAGTGTTAATTTACCTGTACATGTTCCATCACATAAAATTCTGTTCCAATGACAGACGGATCACTGCAGTATAATAAAGGTTTGGGAACGGGGAATCCAATTGAAAACAAGGCTTTCTGGACTTCAAATTCTCTATCAATCTAAATAAGATGATAGATAATTAAAAATCAGAAATATAGATATTTAATAATTACTTGTGAGCTAACATTAAGGCTAGAAATTAATTTTAAAACAGTATCAACAAATATAACAAACAATATAACCCAGAGGATAATAGTTTCCTTAGTACTGTCCATAAAAGTAGTCTTAATGCGATTATTACAATTATAAATTAGGATGGCACTTGCAAAAGAGTCAGACAGAGCTTAGCAACTAAAACAAAAACAACAACAAAAATTGCTAATTAGGCTAAAAAGACAGGCGGACATGGAACAATAGACTGGTTCCAAATAGGAAAAGGAGTATGTCAAGGCTGTATATTGTCACCCTGCTTATTTAACTTATATGCAGAGTACATCCTGAGAAACCCTGGGCTGGAAGAAGCACAAGCTGGAATCAAGATTGCCGGGAGAAATATCAATAACCTCAGATATGCAGATGACATATGGCAGAAAGTGAAGAGGAACTAAAAAGCCTCTTGATGAAAGTGAAGGAGGCGAGTGAAGAAGTTGGTTTAAAGCTCAACATTCAGAAAACTAAGATCATGGCATCTGGTCCCATCATTTCATGGGAAATAGATGGGGAAACAGTGGAAACTGTGTCAGACTTTATTTTTTTGGGCTCCGAAATCACTGCAGATGGTGATTGCAGCCATGAAATTAAAAGACACTTACTCCTTGGAAGGAAAGTTATGACCAACCTGGATAGTATATTTAAAAACAGAGACATTACTTTGCCAACAAAGGTCCATCTAGTCAAGGCTATGGTTTTTCCAGTAGTCATGTATCAATGTGAGAGTTGGATGGTGAAGAAAGCTGAGCACCGAAGAACTGATGCTTTTGAATTATGGTGTTAGAGAAGACTCTTGAGAGTCCCTTGGACTGCAAGGAGCTCCAACCAGTCCATCCTAAAGGAGATCAGTCCTGGGTGTTCATTGGAAGGACTGATGCTGAAGCTGAAACTCCAATACTTTGGCCGCCTCATGTGAAGAGTTGACTCACTGGAAAAGACCCTAATGCTGGGAAGGATTGGGGGCAGCAGGAGACGACAGAGGATGAGATGGCTGAATGGCATCACCGACTCAACGGACATGGGTTTGGGTGAACTCTGGGAGTTGGTGATGGACAGGGAGGCCTGGCGTGCTGTGGTTCATGGGGTCGCAAAGAGTCGGACACAACTGAGTGACTGAACTGAACTGAATTGATGCATGGGGCTTAATCTAACTGATAATATGAAGGTGATAGTTTCTGATCATAATATTTTGCAGATATCATTAAAAAAAAACAACCAAACACCCTTTTTTTAAAATCAGTCCCTGCTTGCTGACTCGCTCTTGCTTCCCATCACCAGTCCCTCTCCAGTCCACCATGGGGCTCAGGCAAGTCTCTATTTCAGTGCTCTGGGCACAGTCAACTACAGGGTACTGGGGGAGGCCTGTGGGTGCTGGTAGAAAGGAAATGTACCCACTCCGTCTGGAGATCAATGGAGGTACTTGTTTTCAAGGCAGTGGTGCAGGGATTCTTCCTGGTACCCAGGGCTGCTGTGGAGCTCAAGATAACCACTGGGTAAGAAGACAATGAGAAACAACTTGGTAATGACACAGAAGCTCAGCTAAGATAGGAGAAGAAAAGGCCTTCCTCAAACAGGACAGATGTACACATTTATCACTCAGAACCCAGGTACACAGCTTATAGCAGAACACTGATGCCAACTAATCTGCCTGTAAAGTCCCCTTCCCCAGACTCAGGCAGTGGTGGCTGATCACTTTTAAGGAGAAGAAACCATGCAACTCACTTTGACCGGAGGGATAAAGCAGCCACTGCTGCAATAACTAGAGCAGGAAAATGACTAAATCCACAACCAAGGTGAGAGAAGTCAGAGATGCCAATAGTTATAGAAAGAAGCTTTCTGGTGCTGTGAAATAGGGGTGGCAAGGGGTGATGGAGGCTGGTCATAAAGTAGATGTCAGTGTGGGAACACTGCTTTTTTCCAATGCAGATCTGGGAAAAATGAAAGGAGCTGAAACAAAAGTAATTTAGATTGTTGGGCTGAAAGTATTATTTTATGTTCTGATGTCTTCTAGATATCAAGGATATTATCATGAAGAGAGACAAATCCAACTGTTTACTGGGGCATAAATCTCTCCCTGCAGGTGGGGATTCTCTTTCACCCATGCCTTGCTGAGGCTTAATAAAAGTTACTGAACTTTTTCGATCTTAAGCATCCAGGTCATTTCATTTTCTGGGAATATCATAGTCATAATATGCATTTTCCATTACTGTGATATTAAACCCACCTTTCAGTGGCCCATCTCCAGTCAGTTGGGGTTGGGAATAATGTATAATCTGTTATACATGATTATAATAATATCCAAAATATGCATCATGATTTTCATGTTCTTTTCTCTAAAAATCCATAGATAATATGTTTTCTGAAAAGAGTCAGTTTTTAACAAAAATCTTTTATAATTCTAAGATTTACATCATATTATGATTATTTAAATATTTATTTTTATCACCAAAAGATCAAAGGATTACTACATCAAATATATTAAAGTATTCAGTGAGTAGATATTGTTATAAGATATAATAATGTGCCTTTTAAAACATAATTTAATCAAAGTTCAAAACATCTATAGATGAGCAGCTCTGAAAATATTCACCAGATGACTACATTTCTAGCTGACTATACAAAGGAATCAAATCCACAAGAGGACTGGATAGTGCTCAAGATGACCAGCTTAAACACAGCCTTAGATTTCAAACTCAAATCCATGATAAAAACAAAAAGGGGTGGGGGGAATACAATTCAAGTGAAATTTTCATCTAAGAAATAAAATGCATTCTCTATATTTAACAATTGTGAGAGTACTTTTAAATGCAATTTAAATTGTTTCATGTGTATAAAATGCATTTATTAGTCAACAAGGAATTTAACATTGCATTTGCATACCATACCTTATGTGCTTTAGGAAGAAGTAAACCAGGTGGTTTTTTTCTGAGTACATATGCTCGAAAGCCTTTCTGGAGATAAAAGGTTGGATTGGACTGTCCTGATCTAGATAAGAATAGAGAAAAGGTCAATAAAAAAGATATATTTTTCTTTTTCCCCACATTCTGCTGAAATTTCAGAAGAAAACACAAAATGAAAATAAATCCACTTCAACACTAGAAAGCCAAGAGGGGTGCTACCAGCAGCTGAGAACATCCATTTTTGGATTGTATATAGCATACGGTAACACAGTGGCAGCTGGAAAACCTATAATCTACACAGGTAGAAGAGAAGATCTTACTTCTTGCCTGCAAATCATGAGTTTTATCAGAAGTATCCCTATAAAAACATCTAGATCTAAGTAAAGAAAGGCTGGGAGAAGAGATTGTAGGGGATCTGTCAGAAAATTAATTAAAGGATGCTGGATGAGCTGTTCCCTCATCTGCGATTGGAGAGAGAACTCCAAGTATAGCTTTCTGAAATGGGAATTCTGATAAGCAAGGTCCTAGAGGGGATATTTGGGCCAGAGAAGTGCAATAGTGCCCCAAGTGACTCACAGACACCAGGGCACTGACTTTCTTGCTCTGTGGACAGAAATTCTCACATGAGCTAAGAAAATACACTCCAGCTGCCAAAATTATTTCATCTACACCTTCATTTACCCAACTTTTAAAGAATTCAAGAGCATGAAAGAGAGGCCTTGAACTAAAAAAGCAGAAGAATTAATCCCTGAGGTAATAGGTAATAAGAGAAAGTTAAAAAACATTTCTCTCTGAAGTTTTACCCTAAGCTTCCAGCCTCCATCTGCAAAGAACAAAAGCAGATTGAACACAGCAGCATCTCCACTTTCTACATCTTACTCAGATAAGCAAGACCCATCCTCTCTAGCAATCATACTAAAAAGCACCATCTAATCCTGGGTGAGCGCCTTTAAGCATAGGAAAGTGAAGATCATTGCAACAGTGTCAGCAAATGGGACCACGTCAAGTTGTATTGTTAATCTTTTTAAAATATAAATTCATTTATTTTTGGCTGTGCTGGGTTTTCATTACTGTGGGAGCTTTTCTCTAGCTGTGGAGTGTGGGGACTACCCTCTAGTTGTGGGCATGTGCTTCTCATTGAGGTGGCTTCTCTCATCACAGAGCACAGGCTCTAGGCCCACAGTCTTCAGTAGCTGCAGTGCAAGGGCTTGGCAGTTGCGGTTCCCAGGCTCTAGAGACCAAGCTCCTGGGCTTAGTTACTCTGTGGCATGTGGGATCTTCCTAGATCAGGGATCAAACACATATCTCCTGCATTGGCAGGTGGATTCTTTACCACTGAGCCATCAGGGAAGCCCCTATGTTGTGTATCTTGACATGGGACAATTTATCTGTGATGCTCCAAAGAGTCAAGTTGCAATGAACCTTACAAAGACAATTCTTAATGCCAAATGTCTAATTGGATGCATTTCTGATAATGCAGTCATATACCGAAGCACTGGTGTTTTGTGATGGTAAATGACCAAGGTGAAATATAAGAGGAAAACTAAAAGCTATTTACTAAATATATAATTACCATATGACCCAGCAATTTCACTCCAACATATATATCCAAGAGAACTGAAAACACATTCAAACAAAAAAGTGTACATGAATATTCATAGCAGCTCTATTCTCAACAACCAAAAAGTAGAAACAATCCAAATGTCCAACAACAGATGAATGGATAAACAAAATATGAGATATTCATATAATGGAATATTGCTCAGCCATAAAAGGAATGGAGTTCGAATACATGCTAAAATGGATTGGCTCTGAAAACATTATGCTAAGTGAAAAAAAAAAATAGTCACCAAAGGTCAGATATTATATGATTCCATTTCTGTGAAATGTTCAGAATATGTAAATCCATAGTGATAGAAAGTAGATTATTGGTTCCAGGGGATGGGAAGAAGGGGGAATTGTGAGATAAGGGTTTCTTAGGGTGATGGAAATTTCCTGGAATTAGATAGTGGTGATGACTGCAGAATATTGTGAATTAATAAAAACCACTAAATTATATACTTAAAATAGTTAAAATTTTAAGTTTAATATAGCATGAATTTTATCTAAACAGACAAACACACAAACAAACAAAACTCCACCAAACTAAAAGCATCTCTTTTGAGCAAGTATCTACTGTCCATGGTTCTAACAAAGACAAAAAGAAAAAAAAAGCAGAATCCCTGCAGGGGAAGACCATCACCAACACTGTGTACTGTGAACAAAGTACTGGCTACATTTAACTACTCTAACCATCAGGCCTCCATACAGTATGGAACCCACTGATGGTATCAATATGATAAGAATCATCAATGAGCCAAAGGTCATAACTGTTCTTTAGGACTTGAACAAGACATTTAATACTAAAAGAAATGGGTTGATTTATAACCAAACGTGACACTTGATTTGTCGAACCTTAATTACAAAGATGGAATCTTTGCATTTAAGTGTTCAGTTAGGAACACTCATTCGGTAGACTCACTTGACTAGACAAGAAATCTCAAAGACTCTTAGCATTGGTTTTACTTAGAAGCACAGGAAGACAGGAGATACAGTATTCCAGCGGGGTAGCATCAGATGAGTTTCTTTAGTAAGGTCCTTACAGTAGGTCTATGCAGCAGTCTAGGATCTACCTTGTAACGCCTGTGTCTGCCTGTGTCCCTCTGGTGATAGCTCAGGTTTGAAGGAATGAGATCACAGTGGATGGGTGTGGGTGCCACCCTGGCTTAGAAGCCTCACACTCTACACCATGATGGCTCCATCATCTCCAGGAGCAGTGCTCTAGCAAGAGACATGACCAATTTTAAGAACTAACTAAACGTAGAAAAGCCCCAAGTTAAGCCTAAAATATCTGACTAGATACTTAAGTTAAGCATAAAATATCTGACCAGATACATTTACAGGCCTTCCAGTTCAGATGCAATTTACCAAATAGATGTTACTTTTACCATAAGTGCTCTTGCTTGGAAACACAGCTGACACTCCACCTTACTAAGTTTCCAGAGTAACATAGCTAGAAAGTTAATTTGTCTGTAGAACAAAAGAAAAGTTTTGTTTTTTTTTTTTAACATTTTTCTCACAAGCATGCGAGCCTCAGACCCATGATGTAATCCTAGTAGGTGGCTCTATCTGCATCTCCAAGCTTCCAAAACTTAGATATTCTTACAAATTTTTTTCAATAGCAAGAAATTTTTAAAAAGCATCAATCCTGTTAAAGGTCACTTATGTTTACAGCTATGTAGGCAGCCTAAAGGAAATCAGTTCTGAGTGTTCTTTGGAAAGACTGATATTGAAGCTGAAACTCTGATACTTTGGCCACCTGATGCGAAGAGCTGACTCACTGGAAAAGACCCTGATGCTGGGAAAGATTGAGGGCAGGAGGAGAAGGAGATGACAGAGGATGAGATGGTTGGATGGCATCACTGACTCAATGGAGATGAGTCTGAGTAAATTCCAGGAGTTGGTGATGGACAGGGAGGCCTGGTGTGCTGTGGTCCATGGGGCTGCAAAGAGTTGGACACGACTGAGCGACTGAACTGAACTGAAGGTAGCCATCTTGTCCCTTGTCTGGAGATAAATCTGAAGTTATTCAGAATTTACTGTTCTTTGATATCACTCCTTTTTCTTTAATTTTGAAACCACTTGTGGAGTCATGACTATTCTGACCAAGTGCACCATAGCAAGCAGTTAATACCAAGTGGACTTAGACGTTCACGTCTACTCTTATAATCAGCTTGGTATGCTCATTGAAGTATATGGAATTGAGTGAGCAATGACGCAGGATAACAATCAGCTTGGCAACTGAACTCACAGGCACTGCTACAGCATTCTTTGAAGTAGCAACTTTTGATACTGATGCCGATAGCTCCTCAAATGTATTTGCTATGGATTAGAGATCGAGAAAAGAGAAGACTAAAAGACTAATATCATGGTGTTTAAACATAGAAAATATTGAGTATATAGTTCAAAAGACTTAACAATACAAAGCTGGAGATAAGAAGAGGCAAAATATCCCCCCAAAACTTGCTCCAAACTAGGATTCAGAGCTATGGTAGAAGAAGAGATGTGAAGGCAGAATCAAAGGAAGTCAGAAGATTCTTGACAACTGCAATGGAAGCAACAAATGGCTGGCCAAGAATCAGATTACTGAGAAGGAAGAATTTAACATCAGCAGAAAGAGGTGGAGAGGGTCCAAAACTCCACCACAGTGTACCAGAGAACAGGCATCATGATAGGTGCTTTGCTGGGCATTTCTTGGAAGTTGTGGCTCATCTCTCCAGAGGTGCCTTTTCTGGATCCATGGCTGCAAAAATCAACCAACTTGAACAAAACACAATACAGCATATTCCACAGAGCCATGACGTTTGAAGGACTCTGATCTGTAGGAAGTTGGTTCAGTGACAGTTTCAAAAATTATTATTTGAGCTGCTTAATATTCTATTTATAATTAATATATTAATTAAATTATAACTATTTAACATATTAAAATTATAGACATTTGTCCTTTTCATCATAGGGGACTGGAGTGCAAAAGTAGCAAGTCAAGAGATACCTGGGGTAACAAGCAAGTTTGGCCTTGGAGTACAAAATGAAGAAGGGCAAAGGCTAACAGAATTTTGCCAAGAGAATGCACTGGTCATAGCAAATACCCTCTTCCAACAACACAAGAGATGACTCTACAAATGAATATCACCAGATGGTCAATATCAAAATCAGATTGACTAAATTCTTTGCAGTCAAAATGGAGAAGTTCTACACAGTCAGCAAAAACAAGACCTTGAGCTGACTGTGGCTCAGATCATGAACCCCTTGTGGTAAAATTCAGACTTATATTGAAGAAAGTAGGGAAAACCACTATGCCATTCAGGTATGACCTAAATCAAATGCCTTATGATTATACAGTGGAGGTGATAAATAAATCCAAGGGCCGAGATCTAGTAGACAGAGTGCCTAAAGAACTATGGATGGAGGTTCATAACATTGTACAGAAGGTGGTGACCAAAATCATCCTCAAGAAAAAGAAATGCAAGGAGGCAAAGTGTTTGT